CAGGCTGGGGGGGGAGAGAATCAGCTGGCGGGGAGTGGAACTGACATGGGCACATGCAGATCCCAGGGCACTGCCTGTCCCGCACACAGTCCCAGCGATGCACGAGCGAGTCCGGCTACGGCTCCACAACACGCTTGAACAGTGCTCAGGAGCATAGACAAGCCTTCTCTTCCCCAGGCGTCACTCCTACATCAGACACAACCAGAGGCTCCCAGCGCCAATCGTGCCCTACCTCCCAGCCACTCCCCTCTCCAGGCCTTTGTTGGGCGCCCAGCTGGAAAACCAGGAAATACCGGACATTGCACATGTCTGGTATTTTCTGAATTTTTTTTACCTGACAGAGGCCCCAAAAACTGGACTGTCCGGTTGGATACTGGACACCTGGCAACCCTAGCTGCAGAGTTACATACACCTGCATCATGAACTGACTGGTCAACCATGCACCTCATTTGGAACCTGCATCGCACAATTGGGCAGTGAAGAAACATCCTCTCCTCCAAACAGGACTCTGTTAAACATAAACAACTAGAAAGAAATAAAGAGAAAGCAGCATTTTTCTTTTGCACAGTAAATTTCCAATCCTGTATTAAGTCAACATTCAGCATTAAACTTTTGAAAGAATGACCATAATGTTTTGTTCAGATTTATGAACAATCCCTGTTCCTGAGGTGTTCATAGCTCTGAAGTGCTAGTGTACATAATAAAACATGGAGATTGTCTCTAACTAGGGAAGACACGATGGGAGAAAAAGAAAGATTTTGTTCCCATTTTACAGATGGAAAAATTGAACCCAGTGTGAGTACCAGTCCGGTGTCTTAACCACATGGAAATTCTTCTCTAACTAGAAGCTGAGAGGAAAGTGGCTGACACTTAAACAGTGACTCTATAGCCATGTTAGTGTGTGATTTCCTGAAGAGGGTTCCAAATTGTGTTGCAGTTCCCCAAGCATATACTAGATGCAGGTCCATTTTATTTTAATGAATGGAATGTAAATTAGTGAATAGCAATGAAATGAAGAAACCTGTTTTTTAAAATGAGGTAAATGCCTCTCTGACTATTCATTTGAGAATGCATTTACTTTGAACTCTGATACAACCTAAAATAATTATACTGTAGTGCATTATGAAAAAGGAATGGATTCTTTGTTTTGAGGCCTTAGTGCAGCTCTCTGCTCTTAAACTGATCACTGTGCAGAGATGACTGTTTGCATGGGGATTACTAGACATACAAATTACTGTGCTTCAATGCAATGGCAGCTTAGCAGCACACAGCCATGCTACTTAACTCTTCAGACTGGGAGTAAAGCTGAATAGTTGAACTAATTGGAAGTGCAATCTTAACTTCTTTAAGCTCTTATTTTTGTAAAGTAAATTAAAACATTATTTTTAAAATCCTATGTTTAATAGGCTGCAATATCTTGATAGCTCAAGAGTTGTTCAATTAGAACATAAACTGTGCTCAGCTGTCTCATAACCTTTATGTGGGCTGTAGACATGTCAGTCCCAAATACAGAAGATGGTACAGGCAGTCCCTGGGTTACATGGATCCGACTTACATCGGATCCCTATTTACAAACGGGTTGAGGCAACCCCGCACTAGCTGCTTCCCCCCGCAACCCTGCACTAGCTGCTTCCCCCCAGCAGACCAGGGAGATGCGAAGCTAGCGCCCCCCCACCCCAGCAGACCAGGGAGAGGTGGAGCGGCTTTTCTCAGCAGACACCTCAGCTTGAGAATAAAGGACTGAGGGAAGTGAGGTGTGGGAGAATAAAACTGAGCTCTGGAGAAATGTTTGGCTAGAGTTTCCCCTACAATATGTACCAGTTCTGACTTACATACAAATTCAACTTAAGAACAAACCTACAGTCCCTATCTTGTACGTAACCCGGGGACTGCCTGTATTTTAAAAGAAATGACCTCACCCAGCTTCTCTTTCCAAGAACCTTTACAGAAATTAAAACTAAAAGCATTCACTAGCCATGGCTAGCAGAAGTCAGACAATCCCACTACAGAGCTTGTGCCTAAATTCTCTAACTTTAAAATATTTAAACTAAAAGCTTTAACATGAATGTTTGTTGGATGGAGGCAGGTTTTGACTTATAGGTACCAGTTCAAACATGAATACATGGTGGTTCAACACACAACCATCAGGTGGGAATGGCTGTGTATAATGAGTTGATAAGTCTCAGTCTGATTTTCAGTAGAGAGGTATCCATGTTACAAAACCATTACCACAGCTGGCACAATTAAGAACTGCTTCTTGGCATTCTCACTAGAGAAGAGGTAGATTGAACAAGCCAAGGAGAATGTACATCTTTCAAAACATATCTATTCCATGGAGGACAAAGAGAGCATTCTTTTGGCACCCTTAGAGCAAGCAGTGCATTTTACAAAGGTCCTGGCTATATTATTTTTCTGTATCTTGTGCAGAATGATGTGGTGATTTCCTCTTAGCAAATCTATGATTTGCCCTTTCTTCCCAGTATCCCTTGTTAAAAATTCCTGAATGTTCACTGGCATGGTGTGGTTTAAAATGGGAGAGTTTGAAATGTCAGTTTCTACATCATTTCATTAGCTACCTTAACCTACCTTAAAGTTTGTACATGTTATCAGTGATCAGAAAAATCCTCTGGAAGTAATACAAATTTCTTCATGCTTCTAACCATTACTTCTGTTCTAAAAAGATAATTCCAAATATTTTGAAGTGGGACTATTGACATGCATTCCCTCCTCTTTTTCACCCTCTTGTGGCAGTTTGCTCTGTAATAAAAGTAGGATTATAAACTCTTGCTTAGTGATTTTAACTGCTCTTGATCTTGGTTCCCTAGAAATAATGGCAAAGTACAAGCAACGCCGGCGGAAGCTGCGGGCCCGGGCAAAACTTCTAGTGAACAAGAAAGGCGATATCACTAAAGTGCGGTGCTTGAATCCTCTCCCTCAAAGGTAAACTCACATTACATTTAGTTTTCTCATTAATCCAATTCATAGGTCCATTGCTAGTTCCAAACAGTACACTGACTCACAGACATTGTAGATGGAGACTTGTTGAATCCCATCTACTTCATGGCCTGTCTGCTGCAGAATTGTTTTCTCTTATATATCTTCCAGTGTCCTTCCTGTCCAATTGTATTTTAAATGCCTCAGGAAATGGGGCTTGAAAGAGAGTTGTCACAAAAACTCAGTAACTAGAGCCTGAAAAAAACTGTTAGGAAAATATATACAT